GCCCATCTGTGTTTTTTACATGTATGAATTAGGGACCTTTTGTACAGAGTATATGTCTTCACACACTGAATCTAAGAATTATTGATTTTCAAAATTCTATTCACCACTGTCACATCAATATTATTTTATATTTCTCTTGAAACGCTGTATATAATGATTTTTTGTTCATTGTGTTAGTGCCTACTCCTTTACCCCTCCCCCCATTGTAGTACAGAGACATCAGATGTCTTAGTAGCAGAATAATTTTTGTTCTGTCAGATTGGAGCCAACCAAAGGGACATATGCAAAAGAGTGGGCCAAATGGGAAAAGCAATTACGAGATGTGTTATATGCAAATGCTGATTATCTTAATTCAATACAGGTTACTGCAGATGTTATACCATCATCATATGATATGTACCCATCATGTGCTCTTTCGGCTAGACAAGCCCTGCTACTGCATAATTGGTATAGTTTAATAATATTGTATTCTGCAGGTTCCATTTGAATTAGCTGTAGAACAAGTATTGGGTCAACTGAGATCTATTGTGAGGGGTGAGACACGACCAATTGAAAAGAGGAAGCTTGGGAGTGTTGGGACCATTGTGTTCGCTGCCATTAGCTTGCCTGTTAAAGAAATCAAAGCTCTTTTAGAAAATGTAAGCCCCCCCCCCCCCCCCCCCCCAAGTGTCCATTTTTATTTCCAGAATGTGGTAGAAGTGTAGAACATTGTAGGTCTATGTTTTGGTGGTTTGGTTCAGCTTCTACCTTTGTGTCATTAAAATTGCTAGTACTTGACTGGTGACTCGTTTTACTCACCAAGTAACTTGGTTGGGACTTGGGAGTAAATGTGAAAAGACCTTTACAAAACTTGAAGATAGTAAAAAAAAAAATAGGGAGACCTTCAAACCAAGTATGAATTGGAATTAATAATTTAGGATTAAAGAACTTAGGGTTCAGTGATAGAGTGGATGGACAAATGCACTTGGGCACTTGGGCACTTGGGTTTGTATTTGGATGACCATATCTTATTTAAACGCTTAATGAATTATGCAGGTGGTTGTGGATTGTTGCTTTTCTTTAAATATACATGTACAGAGTATAATAAGTAGGCTTCTAAAACTAATATTATTAGAAATCTGTAGCGCATATTTATGTACACTCACACACACAGTAGTCAGGCACTCATATTTGTATGTATATAATCGCTACTCAGCATTTGACTGTGTGACTCATTAATGCTCCCTCCGTCCCATTCTAAGGTTCTCACTTTCCTTTTATGGACGTCCCATATAAAGGTTCTCATTTCTATTTTAAGAGACAATTAACACTCTTAAATGACAATCCAATCATCAAATATTATAAGTAATACATTATTACACCACAATTGTCCTCTCATTATACGGAGTATTATATAACCATCTAAACTATTTTTCAAAATATACTCGAATAACCTTATTTAATTATTGTATAAATGATTGTGCCATTTTACAATGAGAACCTTTAAGTGGGACGAAGGTAGTAACTTATTTTATGTTCCATGACAGTAGATAAGACTCCCAGATAAATAAGGTAAATGGCCTGATTACCACTCTTTGGACAGGTGGCTAAGAAGGATTCAGAAGCTGAAGCTTTTCTGAAGGACAAAGACTTGGAAACCCGGCTTCAGAAAGCACATGTGACGCTTGCTCATAAAGGAAGCCACAGTGTGGCTGCTCTTGCAAGCTATGCCCCCTTTCTCCATCAACAAGTCCCTGTGGAAATGACCGCACTCTTATATTCAGAAAGGGTTGCTGCAATTGAAGCCTCCATTGGTTCTATTGATGGTGAAAAGATATGCTCGAAGAACAAATGGGCCCACACCACATTATGGACTGCCAAGGGAGTGGCACCTGTGGAAGCCAATTCACTACCACAATTGCTTGAGGCGGGAATGGCCAAGCGGGTTGAGATTAACCCGCCCGTCACGATAAATGGGGTTGTGCAGTTCTCTTAATTGTTATGTTCGATGTCACAGCCCAAAAATATTTCATCTTTCATTGGACCCGGATTTTGGATGTGTGAAGGTAGTGTAGGGCGTTGAGCTGGGTATAAACTCTATTTGGAGGATATTGGAATTTATTAGATGTCTGTGCGATGAAGAATTGCATAGCATTAATCAGCCTTGTATAAAAACGGTTGTACAAGACATACTTTTGCTCTTATAGAGATATTTTGAAAATGAGGTTTACGTCCAAATTCGAAGTAAATATGAGGTGTAAATTTAGTTCTTCTGTTTATTTATTTAAGCAGGCATAAATAGTAAATACTGCAATTATTTCTTAATGAATAATATGTATTACGCATTGTTTATTTCTTTATATGTACTTCACTACTTCCCCTCCAAATGAGCAGGTTAGATTATAGTAGAAATGTAGAATCATGGACCATCCATCATTAAAGTCACCGCTTGGTAACTTTGACTGTCGATAACTAATGAATCAAATCACACTGTAATATGAAAATATACTCTTGAACAATTAGTTATTCTCATACTTCATCTATCCTTGACCCTTTTAAAGAAAAATAGATTTTTTTTTGCTATACTTACTATTTGTAGCATAGATAAATATTATTTGAGGGCATCATTGTGTCAAAGAGTATAGTATGATGAAGTCATTTATCAGGGGCAGGTACAAATCCTGCGTCCACCACTTGGTGTGGTATCCTTTGTATATTGCTCTCTAGTAAACGTGTGTCGCATGCAGAAAACGCCAGGCCAGCATATATACTATGAGTATATATCATGTCCGGTTTGCATGGCTTACACCTGTCAATTTCAATTCTACAATAAGCCTCACCCCCACCGCTTCAACTTTTCATAAACACGAGCTAAGAAAGAAACACACACTACAGTTTACCCATCACTAATTAACTGCTCCTATAACAAGCAGCCAGATATATTCATATCATCTGGGTAGTGAAACGTACGAGAAAAGAAGAAATGGGAAAGAAGAATCAGGCGTGTATGAACAACCTGTTGTTGGCGTTGGTACTGCTTTTGGTTGCTTATAATTGTGCAACGGCAGCTGGGGGAGGTAGAAGAGGTCATCTTCAGTTCGAAGCAGAGGCGGCGGATTCAGAAGGGAAAGATGAGCAGCAGCAGAAGAAGCTGTTCATGTTGCAGGAAGAGAAAGAGGTGGTGAGAACAGAAGCTGGGGTGATTAAGGTGGTCAGCGGTGGCAGCGACAGATTAATGAAGTCGCTGCAGAAGCAGCCATTAATCGATATCGGGTTCATCACTATGGAGCCCAAATCCTTGCTCCTCCCTCATTATCTTGATTCCACCCTCGTCCTTTTCGTTCGTTTAGGTACTATCTTGTACATTAAATACTTATATACTCCGTATATATATATATATATATATATATATATATATATATATATATATATATATATATATATATATATATATATATATATATATATATATGAGTAGTCTTCCGGTCAGGTATACCTGACCGGAGCCCCGTCCGGCCTCCTCCATTTGGGGGCCTTCCCGGTGGTATTTTTTGCTCAAATTTTTTGTGTAGGTTCCTCATCAAGTCTAGTTCATCCATACCAAATTTCAGCCAAAAATTCAATCGGGAAGGTCGTCAAATGATTTTTGCAAGTTAACTGGTCCGGAAAATACATATTCCGGACCAGTTAACTTGCAAAAATCATTTGACAACCTTCCCGATTGAATTTTTTTCTGAAATTTGGTATGGATGAACTAGACTTGATGAGGAACCTACACAAAAAATTTGAGCGAAAAATACCATCGGGAAGGCCCCCAAATGGAGGAGGCCGGACGGGGGGAGTGGTCCGGCCTGGCCGGACCTGAACTTTAGTGTATATATATATATATATATATATATATATATATATATATATATATATATATATATGAGGTGGTCACTATTTACGGCTTATAAATATTTATGCATATGTATACATAGCCCTTTGTTATGATGGAATAAAGCACAATGGTTCTTTAGTGCAGTCTCTCCCTCTTTTAGGAGTAAGACTGCGTACATCCAAACCCCTATCCCACCCTAAGTGATAGGGGTTTGATGATGATGTACATAGCCCATCCAGCCCTAGCCCTGATTCCCTGATTCTGGTGTTCTAATTTACTTCTAGTATCATCCAGCCCTAATTACTATATGCATTTAAACGTTTAGTGCATTTATGTTTAGTTTTACTCTGTAGGCTAATTAATATTGATGATGTGACGTATGCATGCATTGCTACGTACAGGGGATGCAAGAATCGGCCACATATACAAGGATGAGTTGGTGGAGAGAGACTTGAAAGCAGGGGATATATACACCATTGAAGCCGGCTCTGCTTTCTATTTGGTCAACACTGCAGGTGGGCAAAGGCTTCGTATCATTTGCAGCATTGTCGGCACCTCTCCTACCATTGGATCCAATCCTTTCCAGGTATGTGTATGTATTACTAACTTGAAATGGATCCTAACTACTTAGTATTCTTAGGGTGCCCCTACTTCACATTTTGGATTCATCAAAAACCAGAAAATATGGAGGATTTTAAGCTACTTGCTGATGGATCCTGTGAGTATTATGTCATTTCCACATTTGGTCCACTTCTTTGATTTTGACCACTTTTGGTACATAAGTATTGTGTTTTCGCCCATATATGGTCCTTCCGACAACAATTCCGGTGTTTAAAATCGCCGGTGAAGGACAACAAATGGTCAAGAAAGATTAATCAAGTATCAAAAGTGGACCAAAAGTGGACAAACTGAAAGACGGGGATTAAATGTGAAAATGACATAAAATTCATAGGACCAAAAGTGGAAATAGTTATATGTGTTATTTGTAACTTATATGTTGAGATCTTCACGTTTACAGCCGTTCTTCATCGGTGGCGGAAAACATCCTGCCTCCGTTCTTGCTGGATTTGATTTCAAGACGCTATCAACCGCTTTCAATGTGAGTACTAACCTCCTCAACTTGTCTTTAGAATTATGGTAGCTTGATTATATTACAATTTACAAGTCCATATGACTTTTTACATTCTTTAGAATGAGTGAATGACTTCCGCAGATAATAGTTTCATAGCATGACATGAATCAATGAATGACAGGTGTCGGGGAGAGAGCTAGGGGAACTTCTGGGGGCGAATTTGTCCGGCCCGATCGTGCCGTTATCAGATTCTAATCATCCCGCAAACGCCTGGACTGGTTTCCTAGACCTGAAACAAGAGGAGAGAGTTGCACTCTTGAAGAGGGCAGCGGCTTTTGAGGCACCCGTGGATAGAGAGGGAGAGGGATGGACATGGCTGTTCAGAAAGCTGATGAGTCCCTTGATGAGCAACAATGACGATGCTACTGATCCTTACAACCTCTATGAAAGTAAGCCAGATTTCAGCAATGACTACGGGTGGAGCATGGCTGTTGATGAAAATGATTACTCTCCTCTCAAACTCCCCGACGTCACTGTTTACCTTGTCAATCTTACTGCTGTATGTATTCTATCCTCTTCACTCTTTTTTAGTGTGTTTAAGGTTAACTTGAATGGAATAGCTTTAGCCTTTATCATTTCATATTTGACTGCTAGGGAATACCCTCACCTTGAAACACTTCGTCTATATCCTGCAATTGTTTCATTATTGTATAGTGTAGTTGTCATTATTGTGCAATTGGTTAGTCTGTCATGTACTCATGTTCATAAAAATGTTTGTCATTTTTGCTCAGACTCAAGATTATATTGATTTTGATGGCATATTAGGACTTACTTGAACAACTTGGATTTTATCCTAAAAACAATTTGGATGTTACTCTGATGTGTAGTTATGTGTTAGATGTAGACTTTATATGTTGGTTGCTTACTTTGAGTAGGATTTTTAAATTGTGTAGGGGTCAATGATGGCGCCGCATATCAACCCGAGAGCAACAGAGTACGGGGTTGTTCTTAGAGGAACGGGAGAGGTTCAAGTCGTGTTCCCCAACGGAACGCTCGCCATGAAAGCCGAGGTGAAGGAGGGAGATGTGTTTTTGGTGCCCCGGTTCTTCCCGTTCTGCCAGATAGCGTCCCGGAATGGTCCTTTCGAGTTCTTCGGCTTCACCACCTCGGCCAGGGACAACCAGCCCCAGTTCTTGGCAGGCGAAGGTTCGGTTATGCAACTTCTGAGAGGGCGAGAGTTGGCAAAGGCTCTTGGGTTGAGCGAAAAGAGGCTCGGGGAGCTTCTTGACGCTCAAAGTTTTAGTACCATATTGCCCTCAGCCAAGGCTGCCCCGCCCAGGATGATATGATGCGATGAGAATGAAGGGTGTGTTGTTTGTGGTGTTTATTAGATGTTTGTGTTATTTCATCTTTGTTCAGTTGTGACCAGTGAAACATAAGTCGATCTTTTTATTTCTTTAGATATCTTGATTGTTTTTGTTGCTGTGTGATCCCATTTTCGAACTACTCTGCAGTCTGCACATATTTTAACTGTTGGTTTAGCGTTAATCAATAAGTATGCAGGTGAACTTCAGATAAATAAAGTTAATTTGAAATGAAAACGGTATTTGGGTAATACTCCGATCAAGTAAAAAACTCTTTTGGCAGAACCTGAACGTCTCGGACTCTTCCCAAGAAAGTCTTCCTTCTTGGTAGGCTTCTCTTATCAAATCCAGGACGCTAAGCATGGAAACAGGAGCAGCTGCTTGGAAGGTCTTGGCGACGGCGGTGGAAACTGAACCAGTAGATGTGTTTGTGTGTGAAGAGTGGTAGGATCCGCTGTGCACGAGAGAAGGGTGGTTTCAACTTTCAAGATCCATCATCATTGCGAGCATGGCGGAAGGCTCATTTCAAGCTCCATCGTCGCTGTAGGGCATGGGAAAAGGGTCATTTCAAGCCCCACCTTTGTCGCCGTTCCATGTTCCACACACTGATAATTTGGTCACCAGGCGACCTGATAATTTGGTCACCGGGCGTTGGGTCAGATTTGAGCACCAAGGAAAAGAAGAGAATGCACTGAGGTAGGGCTGGACTCGGGCCGGGCGGCCCGACCCGGGACCGAACCAGCCCGGTCACTGATTGGCCCGGCCCGGCCCGTGGCCCGGTGGGTCCGCCGGTTCGGTTTGGCCCGGCCCGGGTGCTGGGCGGTCCGGGCTCGGGCCCAGGTTTTGGTGAACCGGCCCGGCCGATTCGGGCCCGGTCCGGGCCGGATTTTAATTTTTTTTTTTTTTTGGAAATTTTTTTAAGTTTTAGGTTGGATTAGGTATTTTGGGCCATTTGAGGTGGTTTGGGATGGTTTGGGGTTGAGGGGGAGGGGTAGGGGATTAAATAGGAGAACAAAAAAAATTTGGGACGGTTCGGCCCGGTTTGGCCCGGAACCGGAACCGGCCACCGGCGGTTCGGGCTCGGGCCTCCCCTTTCCTGGCCCGAGGCCCGGCCGGGCCCAGGCCCGAACCGGGCCCGAACCGGCCCGAGTCCAGCCCTACACTGAGGGAAGAGATCAAATGGGAAAACAGGGATTTTGAGTTTAGAGTTTATAAAAACTTGATATTTTCAACAAAAAAAAAAAAAAAAAAAAAAAAAAAGAACTTGTTGATAAGAACAGGGATTTTGAGTTTAGAGTTTATAAAAACTTGTTGATAATCGAAGAACTGACCAATCAAGCATTTTTCAGTAGTTTGAGGATTCAGTTTGTTGAAGTTGAAGTGTGGAGGGATTTTTTTAAAACATTATAAGACTTGATTGACAATTTTCCATAAATAGAATGTTTCATGAGAGTACGTGCATAAAGTTGAACAAAGTAGTTGCCCAAAATTAAACACACGAAAATCATATATGCCTAAACTTCCCATAAAAACAATGAACTTAACAATTTCCTTAAACCGGGTATGCCCAAGCCCAGATCCATTCCAATACCAGAGTAACCAGAACAGATCAATTATGGAATGGGGGGGTGTGAAAACCAGAACCTTGACCATGTTATAACTAACTCCAGTTCTGACTCAAACGGGTTCTTGTTCACATCTCATACGAATTCTGCTTTTTACTCGAGGAAAAAAACAACTAAAATAAGAACCGGATTGTACCGTCTGTACTGCCAGAGTGCAAGGTCCAGACACCCGCTTGGGTCTTGAACCAGGTCCATCCTACACGGCTTGGGTAGAATTTACTTTCTGTACTGCGACACCCGGTTGGCTGGTTCTGATCCGGTTTAAGAATCTTGTCCACCTCTGTGCCGCAATTAGACGGGTAGAAATGTAGAATATCAAGTGGGTAATAAGAACCATGCACAAATTTTTGAAGCAAGTCAAAATATGAGAAGAAACAAGGGAAACAAGATAACACAAATTCACTCAAGCAGTCAGGCTTTTAGTTAACATCAACTAATTAATAATAAGTGCGAAAACAAAGATGGCAGTAAATGTAAGAACTGCTTCAACCAACACACTACTACAGCTTTGATTCTTCACATCTGAGAGCTGGTGACTACCATGAACCTTCAGCACCAGCTGTTGGATTCTCAAAAGCGGAGAAACCCCAATATGTCTTTAACGAGTATGGCGGGTATGAGGTCGCACCCTCTTCTTCGGTGATTTTCACAATCTGCAATTCATTTGGTTAGTGTTCAATTTTGGTATCGTACTTATCTACCCCCATCTCCTTCAAATGGATAGCATTTGAAAGTGACAAATAAACGACGATAGTTGGTCAGAAAGACTGTTTCCACTTTACTGTATCGGCAGTTAAGAAATGAAATCCACAAAAGTGCAAGACTATGCTTGCAAAACGGAAAGCAGAAGGGAAAAAAAAGGCTAAGAAATACGCAATTTTTTATTTTACGTTTCTTTGGAAAATACAAGTATCAAAAACCAATTTTAAATTTACATATAATTAGATTTCCTAGGGTTCATAAAACATCTGTAATTGATTGATTGAGCTTGAACATTTTTATACCTCTCCCCCACATACATTTGCAGATTCCATATGGACCCTGAGGAAACTTCATATACCTGGATCTTGTTCACAGCAGACCTATCGCGATAGAGAAGCACACGCATACATTTCTCCAACAATTTGACACCTTCTTCAAAACTCATGTTTTCATTCCATTCTTCACGCAGAATGGGCAGAGCAAGGTGATTCCCAAATCCGGTAGCCACATGATTGTCCTCATAGTGCACACCAATCATATTTACCTAGGAGCAGTACTAAGAAAAATTACTTCTCAACAAAGTAAAATAGCTTCTTAATGTTGTATGCATAAGAAAAGAATGTAATGTGTGTGTTTTACCGTTCCTAGAAACTTCTGTCCATTCTTCACACCACCAAGGATGAGGGAATTCCAAAGAGGATTGAACTTATTCCGTCGGTTATACATTACACGCGTAAGATAATTGTGAACTTCCTTGGGACCCAATGAGTTTCCATCGTCCCACATATTGTCGTATAAGCTGTCCATCCAATGAAGAGTTTAGTTGAAAACATAATTCAGTTATAAAGAAGGTTTTACCAACATTGGGTCACAAAATAATAGCAATATTGTTATAAAAAACTTACATAAGCTCATCAAGGTAGCGCAATATCTCTTGGAAATCACTAAGCTCACCACTTGCACCAACAATGGAGTGTTTCCCAATAGGCTTCAATCGCTCCACACTCTTATAACGCAAGGTGGATCCATAAGACCCTTTAAATGATAAATGATAAAGAATATTACCATAAATGCTAGATCAAAATACATCAATGGGTCAGTGTCATTAAATGGCAGCCATGGCAGAATCACATTTCCAATAATGTGTCATCTGCCTTGAGGAACTTGTGGAGATTGGTGGTCTTCGGATGCACCAGGTGGCAGATCTTTGTCCATAGCCCATACATCATGATTTAACATCTAGTATTAAGTATACTATCATAAGCCTTCTAAGTAGATTTAGATGTCAGAGAACATGTCCTAGCTTAAAATCTGGATCTTGGAATCCAAATGTTCCCTTACTCCCAACAGACAGTAGTATACACACCGACGTATATATATACATTTCTACATATATACACACATGTAGACATATATACAATATACATTTATATGGGTGTTATTATATAGGTATGCGTTCATATATGTGGACGTGGATGTGTATACATGGCACATGCATGTGTATATATGTACATGTGTGTAGACATGTATATGAACATATGTTTATGTTGTGTATATGTATGTATGTGAGTGCATGCATATATAGAGATTACGAAAGAAAGAGAAGGAAATAAAAGGTTATTCCCACATTGTCTCAAAACAGGGGGGAAATTATTCTACAATGTAAACACTGGTGATGCAGGAAGGCAATGGGGGTACACTACTAACTCTTTAGTTACAGAGATAAAATAAAATGATCTAGTCCTACCGTCCTCCAGTGGATTGCGTCCTTACTCAGACTCATAACAAACAACTCATATGATTATACTTCGTATGAAACTAACTGATTTGGATGTGTATACATGGCACATGTATGTGTGTATATGTACATGTGTGTATACATGTATATGTATATGTATGTATGTGAGTGCATGCATATATAGAGATTACGAAAGAAAGGGAAGGAAAGAAAAGGTTATTCCCACGTTGTCTTAAAACAGGGGGGAAATTATTCTACAATGTAAACACTGGTGATGCAGGAAGGCAAGGGGTACACCACTAATGCTTTAGTTGCAGAGATAGAATAAAATGATCTAGTCCTACAGTGGATCATGTCCTTACTCAGACTCATAACAAACAACTCATACGATTATACTACGTATGAAACTAACTGCTTGGGGGGGACTACCTCCCATATCAGCAACCATTAGTACACCATCTTTGAATTTTATTCCAACCACTGAAGTGCCTGTTACATAGGGGTACCTATACAAAAACACCAAATATTAAAATTGTGGATTTGTGAGAGTGACAAACACAATCAAGATTGAAAAGATTGTTGAGACTGTAGTTAAACAGTATTCTTAATTAACAATTTCATACACCATTAAATATTGCATTGTTAGTTGGTCGGAGACGATAACTTGAAAGTACACTACATGTATAATATAATTACATAACCTAATATTAAAACATATTTACTATAAGGAGTATATAGCAATGATATATCGATTTGGTATTGTAAGTAAAATTAAAATTAATATAAAAATAAGCGTGATGCATAATGGATAATTCTGAGGTTGCTTTTAAAAAACACTGAAAGGCTTATGAATAACTTATATCATCAAGTTCTAGCGGGATGAGTCTAAACTACTGCATCTGTTCATGTTGAGAAGGTCGAGCAGATTGTGGATATCCCCACGCTGACAGGAAAGGATGTACGTGACTGGGGCTTACGTAGGCATGGCCAGTTCTGTAAAAAAATGCCTCGACTTTCTGAGAAATAATAATAACAGCCAGTGGTTTCAAACTTTCAATAGGAATATATCGGGGATCCCCAAAATGCCTTTTTGGAGAACTTTGGATTCGATCTGTGGCAAACAGGACTATAATTTCTTTGACATCTAAATGTGGCAGCTGTAATAGTGCGGAGACTGTAGATCAAATAGCAGTCACTTTTCATAAAACTATCAATGTTGCTTTTGAATTTTCATTACTTCTGAGGCTAGAAATAAACTTTAACATGAAGGGAACTATTGAATAAAAATTTCAGCATTTGGCTAGTCAGTGAACTGTGGAAATGGAGTCTTAACACCAAATTCATACTCTGAAAAGGAAACAAGAAGAAATCAGAAAAGATGCTTGGGACAAAATTGAATTAGGTTGGTGTAACCATGCAAAGTTAATAATGGTGCGAGTGTGCGACTCGAAAACAGAATAAGATTGCTAATATGGGAATAATGATCAGAGATTATGGTGATCCCATTGTTCTCTTTTTGGTACTGATATCATGGATCGATTCATGTTAGCCGACCCCAAAATCTTTTGGGAATAAGGCTTGGATGTTGTTCTTGTTGTTTTTGGTAGCTCACTAATGATGCTTCAGTGTGTATACTCTTAATGTTTAATTTATTATTTATAGTTAATAAACATTAGTTGTCTTCATAACAGTTTTCCACAGGTCAAATGATAGAAGTAAGATATTCCTAACTCCAGTAGCTATATGCAGAGGGTGTATCTTAACATACTGTCATACAAGCATTATTAAAAATAATATTTTTTGCTAAACTTTATCAAATGAATTAATTTAAAAGTGATACAAAGTAATATCTAAAAATAAAGGTAGAAATGACATTTTTTTCTCTATCACCGGAAGTAAAATACTGATTTTTTTCCAAAAGAGGTGAAAACAAAGACTCAAATTTATGCACAAATTTTTTCATGTTCACTATCACAGAAATAAACAACAAATTATGAGCACACAAGAGAGACTCCACGCCTTTCTTAAGTTACCTACATGTCTCTCATCTCTAGATTGAGGGAGAGTAATATGAAACAATTGAACAACATGACTACGAAAGCATATAAATATTTGAGATAAACAAACTTTTTTATTTCAAATTTCAAATACAAATACATTCTCAATGACTACTTCATTTTCCTCATCAGAAGTACCATTGGAGCAACATTTTCTAATAAATGAGTATGGCACTCCAATCAAGGATGCAGATGAGCATTTTTCTCTAGTGGCTTTCCAACAAGTATCTCCCATTAACTGAACACCTGACTTAGATTCAACGTACATTTTCCTTCAATTCAATATGCAAGTGGTGCATTAGAGTTTAACCTACAACTGCACATGTGTTATATGCCTCCCCATGAGCTTTACAAACTTGGCAGCACTTCAGTATTCTATATCAGGCAGTGCCTTTATTCATGGTAGCTGGGAGCTTCTAAATCTACTCTTCTAGGACAGTTGAGGCCTATTATTCTAGAGGTTATTTTCTGGTCCATTTGGAATGCATATTGCCCTCTGAACCGGGGTAATGAGATCGTGGAAGCAACAATGGTCATTGGGATTTGTAATGCTAAAACAACAATGGTGGTGTGGTGCACTAACCATTGTATGAAGAAATCTGCTAAAATTATAAAAAGGTTCAAAATGCAGGCTGCTACCTAAAGATTTTAACAGTACGCTTCAATATCAAGTTATTTCTTCGACCAGACCCCAAAACCCTAGCCTGATGTCGAATATTTGTTTTCACTCCCTTAAGAGTGTCCTAACGGGAGAGACAGTTATTTCACATGGATTGTTAAGGTGTAGGCTTATAATAAGCACACATGTAGGTTCTGTTAATCGGTATTTTAGAGGTTTAACCGTACACACACTTTTACCCTAGTTTCTATAGCCCCTCCTCCCCTTCATTTTTATTGAAGAAAGGAAGATTGATCAGGTTCAGATTCCTTCTAATATTTAACTACATCTGCAACAAACAATCACATTTTTAATAGTCAACAAATTAGTTCACCTAGAGATCCCTACCCGATCTTAGTACGCCTACAAGCAAGCAAAAACGCACTGCTACACGTAAAATATATGTAGAGAGAGGGATTGAGCGTACGTACAATGTTCTTTGAGAATTGTTCGGGGAATCGAGCAAACTGGTTTGAGTCGGAGTCGTTGAATCCACCATCTACGACCATTTTTTAAAGCTTAGAAGAAAGAATTGAAATCAAGCTTCAACAATTTTATGTGCAATATAACGCCAGACACTTACATTCATGCTTGAAAACTAGAGGTTTTAGATCGGGGAAAGAACTGGTTATCCAAAAGAAGTAGAAAGCTCACTGTATTGTAAACTTTTCCTCTTGCCCAAGGAAACAGTCGATATCGGCGCAGGCTGTGCGCACCACTATTTGGTGGGAGTAAATTTGCTCACCACAAATATACCCTTTTGACCTGTTCGCACTAAGCCACTAACTAATGAGTAATGACCATGTGCAGTTCTAAGGCTATGTTTGTCATTGCTTAAATTTTAAAAAAGTGATTTTGTAAAATGATTTTTGAAAAAGTGATTAATGATAAAAATTGGGAGTGTTTTAGAATAAAAATGATTAAAGTGAAAAAGTTAAAGTTGGAATGTTTGATAAAAAAGTGATTGTGAGATTATATTTTTCGGAATGTACAAAAATATCCTCCCTTCATTAATCAGCTCACTCTCATATACACGGTTCTCCTCCAAGCTAATTTTCCAAATTCAAAGTAAAAAAATCAAAATCTCCAAGAGGTTAGTGATAATTACGAAGCGAAAGGGGTGTGCAATACATCTTTACGAAGATATTATTGCAATACCTCTCCAAGATTCTTTATTAAAGCTGTATAAACATAGAGTTTTGCAATAACATCACCGATGTCTTTTCGATGGGATGTGATGGAGTATATGGCCCAGGAACCCCCGGCCCATAGATTCCTACTTCTCCTACACAAGTCCATTGAGCCCAGAGAACAACTCAGGCCCAAATGCGACGGCCCAAGCCTCAAAGTAGCCCAGAATACACACTGGGATGCCGTCGGCCTCCTTGGCCGAAGGCTCCAAAACTCACAGGATAGCCTTCTCTGACATAAGAAGCTACTGGGAGAAAACGGCGGAAAACATGAGCCCCCGGCATTACCAAGCCCTCGGCATCAGGGGAGCCTTCGGCTGAACCTGGCCTTAGTCACACGGAGCCCTCGGCTACACAAGGAGCCTTCGGCCAAACACGCTCAATCATCGAAGATTCCCTTTGGAGACAGCCAACCACCGCATTTAATGCCACGTCACATCCGCCAACCGCATTCAATGCGGTGAACGTACCACTGCTGGTGCCACCCGGCTGATGTGACCCTTCGGCCGTTGGATTACTGACACGTGTATTCTCATCGCATTTATTGCTGCTATAAATAGCAGCCCATTTCTCCTTGTAAAGGACACCAGATCCTAGATCTCACATCTCGAGTTCATTTAATAAATCGACTCTCTCTCCTCCTATTTACTCTGACTTCTCTCTAGTTATTCCCGCAATAACCCCTCGGATAAGATACCCCCCGGGTAGACTATCCATCATTTGGTGCTCTCGTTGAGAGGTCAGAACAATCAAGTAAGAAACCCTCCCCCTCTACCAAATACGAAACACTCACCAAAAATGGGAAGAACCACTCGTGCCCAATCCAAAACCCTAGAGGAGAACCACGTAGCCCCCGGCGAAACTAACGGGGCTGAGGCCTCCAACAGGCTCTTGGTACCCGAGGGTGGTATCATCCTCGAGTTGGAACAGGCTACTGCTGACCTCCGTCAGCAGCTACAGAAGAACGCCCCTGATGCCCGCATTGGCCTTGATAATCGAAGGAGGGGTCGGAGTGAGAACCAGGTTCCCCCTCCGGCCCCGGCCATCGATCTTCAGGCAGCCTTTGCGGCCTTTGTTCAAAACATGGCTCTCAACTCCGGAGCCCTCGTCTCCCAGGCACCCCTTCAGCCCTATGCTGGGGGAATGTTATCAACCTACCGCCACTCCCTCCTTTGTTCAACGACCCTCCCTCGGGGGTTGGCAATGCCGAGGGGGTCATAGCACAGGATACCGCCTCCCAAGAGGCCCAATCCAAGGACAAACGCCCCATGATGAAGGAGAAACCCCGAACCTCCGCACTTGAGAGGCTAGGGGGAGCTCCCGGGCACCGAGGGGTCCAAGACCGCCTCGGGAAGCAAGCGCTCAGCAGGCCGCAGGAAAGTGGAGCCTCCGCTTTGGGTGCCGAAGGCGTGCCTCCCCCCCGAAGCAGAGGCAAAGCTCTCCTCCGTGCCGATGACGCCAGGCACCAAATCACACAGGCGCAATCCTTCCGGGCCAACTCCCAAGGGGTTGCCCCGAAGGATCCCAAGGACGAAATCATTGAGGCCCTCCTCCGTCAACTCGAGGAAAATCGTCAGGCACCCCCGACGGCTTCCACAGCAAGGCCAGATCCTGAGTACGCCGACCTCCGGGCGCAGGTGGAGGAAATGAAGCGTAAGCTTGCCGAAGGCTCAGGCGAGCCCCTCATTCAACTCCGCACTAGAACACCCTTCACCCCAAGGGTGTTGGCGGCCAAAATCCCCCACAAATATCGCGGGCAACCCATCAAACCGTATGAGGGGAAGACAGATCCCCAAGAGCACTATAGCCGCTATCAAAATAGCATGATGATGATGGGGGCCTCGGATGAATACTTATGCCGTTGGTTCCTTTCCACCTTGGAGGGACCCGCGTATGAGTGGTTCAACCGGTTGCCCGAAGGCAGCATTGATTCTTGGCAAGAACTTGCCCACCGCTTCCTTACGCAATTTGCTGGGAGGCATCGCTCAAAGAAGCACTTCTCCCACCTCCTAAACGTGAGACAACAGAAGGAGGAAACCCTTCGGAGTTTCCTGGAACGCTGGAGGCAGGCCTCCCTCGAGGTCGAAGGCGCTGATGACAGGACACTAATGGCCCTCTTCCACACCGTCCTCTGCAACGGTAACTTCTCCCGGAGCCTTATCACTGATCCCCCCCCCCCCCCCCCGCGATTATACAAAGGCCCTTCAGCGGGGGGACCGATATGCTGAAGCGGAGGAAATCGAGAAGGACCGCCGCAACACGGGTCCTTCTCAGAAGAATGAAGGTAGGAATCGGCCCGGAGGGCCTCCCCCTCCGACCAACCGAGAGCCACAGTACAACGATCGCTCCCGAGGTGGCCAAGCCAGACCCGGGGGCGGTTACAAGAATAATCCGAAGGCATGGGCGCAACCCGTCCTCCTGGAGCACCCACGCACTCCCCTGACGCACCCCGTCAGCATCATCTTGGACCATGCAGAAGAACGAGGGCTGGTGGAGCGAGACTCCCGTACACCCCTCGAGATTTATGCCATTGGTCCTGATGAGCCCTATTGCCGCTTCCACCGCCACCATGGACACAAAACCGACGACTGCCATCAGCTGAAAAACGCCATTGAAAGGCTAATACAGGCGGGCCACTTGTCTCAGTTTGTCCGGGGCCCTCCTCCCCAGGCCCCCCCACATCATCAAGGCCCTCCGCCGAAGGCAAACAAGTGGGTGAACCCCAACACCATTCCTTTGGGAAACCCACAGGGGAAGAAACGTGAAATTGGGGGCCTCGATGATGAGGGAGAGGGCTCCCATCAACAATACAAGCGCCATATTCATATGATCAACGGCGGCAACACCGGAGGCGATTCAACAAGCCAAAGGAAGAAGTGGGCACAGTCCCTTTACATTGGGGAAGTCAATCACATGCCCCCAACTAAAAGGCCGAGGGCGGATCCAATCTTCTTCACAGATGCGGACCTTCCCTCGGGTTCTCTGCCGCATAGGGATGCCCTCGTCATCCGGACTGAGATCAATGACGCCATCATCCTCCGGACCTACGTCGACACGGGAAGTTCTGTCAACGTCATGTATCTCAGCACTTTCCAAGAGTTGGGGCTCGACAGGGGGTCCCTTCGGCATATCAACACCCCCCTCTCCGGTTTCACGGGGGACAGCATAGACGCCGAGGGCGTCATCAGCCTCCTGGTTGAATTCGGCGACGGATCCCATAGAGCCAAGCTCGAAGTGGAATTCGTCGTCGTCAACCTCGACTGCGCTCACAACATCATCCTCGGCCGGCCCGCCCTCGAGGACCTAGAAGCCGTCGTCTCCATGAGGCACCTCTGCCTCAAATTCCCCACGCCTACCGGCATCGGTTACTCGAGGGGGAATCAGAAGCTCTCTAGGGCCTGCTACCTTCAACTCACCAGGAAGGTTAGTAAAACTGAATTTCGTGTTGACACAATCACCACCAAAGCCTTGGAGGAAGAAGAAGGCAGGCCGAGGGCTGAACCTGCCGAGGAGACCGAAGACTTGATACTCGATCCGGCCAAGCCGGAGAGAGTCCTGAAGATTGGAGCCAAGCTCCCCGAGGACTTGAAGGCTGGCATCACAAGGGCCCTCCGCGCCTACTCCATTGTTTTTGCATGGGGGCCGGAGGATATGCCAGGAATTGACCGAAGGGTTATCACCCACCGCCTGGCGGTGGACCCTTCGGCCAAACCAGTGCAACAGCGAAGAAGACCCCTCTCGGCCGAGAGAAGGGAATTCGTGAAGAAGGAGGTATCTATGCTCCTCTCCATCAAACACATTAAGGAGGTGAAATACCCTTCTTGGTTGGCAAACGTAGTCCTCGCACAGAAGCCTCCTACCTTCCGTATGTGCGTGGACTACACGGATCTGAATAAGGCATGCCCCATGGACCCCTTCCCGCTGCCAAACATTGATCAACTGGTAGATGAGACCGCGGGATGTGAAATCATGTCATTCCTCGACGCATTCCGCGGATATCATCAAATCTACATGCATGAGGAGGACGCTGAAAAAACTGCCTTCATGACACCCGAAGGCATCTTCTGCTACCTTGTGATGGCCTTCGGCCTCAAAAATTCAGGCGCCACCTACACCCGAATGGTGGCCAGAGTCTTTCAAGCTGTCTTGGGGCGCACTATGGAGGCCTATGTTGACGATATGATTGTCAAGAGCAAGAAGGCCGGCACTCACGCCGAGGACCTCCAGGAAATCTTCGCCATCATGCAAAAATTCAACCTCCGGTTGAATCCAAAAAAATGCACCTTCGGCGTACAAGGTGGAAAATTCTTGGGCTATATGGTAAGCCGAAGGGGTATCGAGGTCAACCCTGATAAAATTCAGGCCATCATCAATATGGAGCCTCCACGCAACGTCAAAGAAGTTCAACGGTTGACGGGTCGCCTGGTGGCCCTCAACCGTTTCCTCTCCAAGTCAGCCGAGGAAAACAGCGGGTTTTCAATGGACATCTGAATGTCAAGAGGCCTTCGATGAACTCAAGAAGTACCTCTCTTCTCCCCCAGTGCTCTCCAAACCTAAGGTGGGGGAGACTTTGTACTTATATCTTGGTGTTAGCCCTTCGGCCATCAGCTC